TTTGCTTGAAGTCCTATTGCTATGTTGTTAATAATATCAATATCATCTGCATACAAGATGTTCCAAGGCAAAGGCGTCTGCACGCGATCAGTAACGAAGTCCATGACCAAGTTAAAAGTAGGGGGCTCAGGGCTGAGCCCTGATGAACTCCACCTTTAACTCGACTTTATCACTCAAACCGGCAGCGCTTCTGACACTTGTCCGTACGTTACTGTACATGTACCAAATGCACGTAAATGTCAGGCAAATATTGTGCTCTCAAAGCTTGCCACACCAATCCACGCGGCACCCTATCAAATGCCTTCTCAAGGTCGAAGAAAATGATGTGCAAATCCTTCTTGTTTAAGCGATGTTTTTCCATTAGCACTTATAGCCTGTATTGCAACTGTTGTGGACTTTGAGGGTGTAAAGCCAAGTTGGTTTGCGCTTATACATGCGAGGTAATGTCTACGGTTATATACTATTCGTTCCCAAATTTTCAATGTATGCGATGTCAACTTTATACCCCTATAAATGCTGCAGTTGGTCACGTCACCCTTGTTTTTATAAAAAGGGAGTAAGTGGCGAAGGCGCCACGAGTTTGGTATTTTACCGTTTGTGAGAATTATAATAAAAAGTTTGTAAGGCATTTCAATCCTAGGAGACCAAGTGATTTCCACACTTCGGCGGGTACTTCGTCAGGGCCTACTGCTTTGCGTTATTTCATCCTTTTTATTGCCCTTTTTACTTTCTCAAGACTAACGTTCTCTATCGGTCCTTCCACTGGTGCAAGCTGTATCAGACCTTGGCTGGGAAACTCCTCATTTAAAAGTTACTTATAATATTCATACCATCTTTTATTTATGTCCTCACTCACTGTCAGCAGCTTCCCGTTTTTTTCCTATTAAGGACATTTATTGGTTTAAATATCTTGGGTCGCCTTTTTTCTACTTTTAGCTACTTTAAAAATTTCAAAATCCGATTTTGCTTTTACAATTCTATTATAAAACTTGTTTCTCGCATTTGCCCTATTGGGCCTGGGCCCCACAGCTATTATACTACTACTGTAGTGCTTTTCTGTTTCCTTACATTACAAAATAATATTACCAAAACTTAAACAAAAATAAACACTCACTAAGAACATAAAAGAAAACCAGTAAAAGTTAGAAGGAAAGTAATGTTTTTTGGTTTATGTCATACTTGAGTGGTCGGAGGTGGTCGGCAAAAGTGTGTTTAAATTAAGCGCCATATTTAAAACACTGGTTAAACACGCGATATCGATATGAATCGAAATAACTATAGCGAAATTATAAATTACTATGGCGACTTTATCTTCGTGAAAATATTGGGTTCTTATACAAACCTCCATTAGTATTTTCAATTGAAAAAGTAATATTGCTTTAAATTTTCATGGTCACTAACATTATAACTATTAACGGAATTGTTACCATGTAGTAATAAACAAGGTACATGATAACAATCCCCTTCTTAACTATAAGAAAAAAAAGAGTGTGCTTATGACCACACAACTGAAGTGAAACTTCTTTAGCTCCATCTGTATGTATATATATACATATTTCATTTACTAGCTATAATGGAAAGAGAGAAAGAAAATGTGCGCGCGCACTTTTTTCTCTTACTTATATCCCCCATTCAACTCCCGTTCGCCTGGCCCGAACACATTCTTCGTAACGCGTAACGCATTCGCCAGTTTACCCCCTAAGTCAAGCGTGCGTAAAATCTTCAAAACTTTGTGAAAATAGGAGAAATTAAAAAATGTCCAGGACACGCAGAGTTATACCGACGGAGGCCGTCGAGGAGCTGAAGCGCTCCCTTATGATTTCCATAGGGGAGATGGTCAGCACTCGGCTGGCCTCCTTAGAGGAGAGACTCCCGCCGCCTAAGAAGTTAAGTAAGCCGGACCGGCAGGTGACGGAAAGGGACAGGGAGACGACCACAGCAGAAGGGACCTGGACTGCTGTGGTCAAGAGGAAGAAAAAAAGGGTGCGGCCCCGGTAGTGGCCCCGGCCCCGGAGGTGGCGAAAACGCACGCGCCGGCAGCGATCAAAACGCAGGCGCCGGCGCACAAGCCGGAGCGACAAGAGGGCGGAAAGGCGAGGCTGAAAGTGCCAAGCACTGCGGCGGTGGCCATCAGCCTGACGCCGGCGGCGAGGGAAAAGGGGATCACGTACGCCAGGGTGATCCAGATGGCTAGGAAAAAGATCCAGCTGCAGGAGCTGTGAATAAGTGGCTAGCTCACGATCCGGGATAGCCAGACCGGGATCAAGCTCTGGGTTGTCCCAGGACCGGACAGTCCCACTAAGGCGGATGCCCTAGTGAGGCGCCTGGGTGAGGTGATGGCCGAGCTGATTGACGTCAGCCGGATAAGGTGGCCGACCTACGTATTGTGGGGCTCGACGAGTAGATTACGACGGACGAGGTGGTGCAGGCGGTGTTAGCCAAAGGGGGTTGCCAGGCTGACAGGGTGGTGGTAGAAGAGATACTCCCTGGACCAGGAGGCAGGAAGGTCGCCACCGTGAGGTGCCCGGTCGGTGCGGCCAAAAAGGTGGCTGTAGGCGAGATGCTGAAGGTGGGATGGAGCCTCGCTCGGCTGAGAGTCCTGGGTCCCCCGCCTTCGCATTGTTACAGGTGCACGGGTAAGGGTCATGCTGCCTCTAACTGCTTCAGGTGTGGGAAGGCGGGACACAGGGCGGCGACGTGCGCCGCCCCGTCCCTATGCGCAGTGTGCGTGGACAGTGGCTGGCCTGCTGACCACGTCATGGGAAGCAGGAGGTGCTACCCTCCGGTTACCCGGGGCAAGCCCCCGGAGAAAGTGGTCGCTGGAACGTCGGCGCCCGGGCGGGTGCCCTCAGAAGGGGGGATGTTCGAGTAGCCTAGGCCGCGTAACCAGCCCCCACGCGTGGGCCATCCTGCGCACGTCGCGGGATCCCCGTAATACCTCGGGAGACCCCTACCGTGGAGCCCCGGCGAGGCCGGGAAGCTGCTGGGTGCGGAGTCGCGGAAGAATCCCTAAACGGGGACCCCGCAGCTTCGCATAAAGCAGTGTAGAAGGTATTCGCAGGACTTTTTTAGCGGATACTATGTCGTAAAGCGCCCGTAAGAATTGCGGGGTCCTCGGTGGTCAGCCACTGCGGGGCCGTAAGACTTGCGGGAGCCAGGTGTGAGGTCCGTTCGGCGGTGTGCCTCTTAAAGGCGCCGTCGTCTGTAAAAAGATCTCTGTAACTATTGGATCGGTTTGTAATGGCAACAGTATATAAGTTAACAAAAAAATACTCAAATACGTTTTTGAACTTTATATTCAAAATCAAATTCATAAATAGTTTATTCAGTTTAGGCTGTTACAATCACTTATGTATGTCTAGAAGATACGCCTTCGGTTAGCAAATCTACGGCGGGAGACCTTGTACTGAGAAGAACCGACCGACCGACGTCTCTAATTCAAAAACGTCAAACTTTAATGGTAGTGTTTCGTGACGTATCACGTTGAACAAGTTTTACGTTCGCCGCATTGTCTAAAGGGCCAATAAATCAATGATAAATAAATTACCTATAAACTTTCATATCATTAATATTTATTAACAAAATTTTATGGTAAATAGATAAGTATGCGCAACTAGTTTTTGTACGATTTTTTTATGTCTACCTACCTCATACATACGATTATAATTTATGGCAGACCCGTTCGGAAAAAATCGACAAATCAGCTGATGTTTATCAAAGCGTTGCGGTTTTGCAAGGAATTTACTTTTCAGTTAAGTATACTAATTCATTTCATTTTTCATTTTCTCATAAAACAACACTTCAGTAAAACAAGCATTAAATTTTCTGGATCCGATAGTTAGCTTTTCGCCCGTAGCATCTGAGGTGCACTGTAGCATAACGCACAAGTACGCTACGCTACGACATTATCAGATACTATTCTTGTCTATCGTTCTGCCAAGTAGAATTTCCTAAATTTACAATGCTTTCTTTGCGATAACCGGATTAGTTGTAGTTAAAGAATGCACTGATTCAGTTTCTATATCGCAAGTTATAAATTAGTTAATTAATCGATTAAGAGTGCGAAGACCCGGTCTACACACGACACGCTATGCCAGGTACAGAAAAATAAATATTATTAACACGCATACACCAATTAGGCTAGCCCGAAAATAAGCGCTGTAAGTTAAAAGGTTTGTGTTATGGGATATTTTGGTTAAGGGATAGAAATACTTATAATAAAACATAGACTAACATAAGTATATTTTCTAGAAATATGTATAAATAATCATGACTCAGGTGCAAATGCTCGTATTCATTAACAAATATTTTGTCCCGCCGAGATTTGAATCCAGGGCCCGAGAGGCCGAAACGCCTTGAAATCCAGCACGGTATGTGCTGGATTCACATAACGGTGGTCCCCCCCTCCTTCAACGGCCAACTAGAGTCGAGTTTCGAGTCTTAGTGATGGCTTTTAGTTGAACCGACGTCCCCCAGGCTCTAGTGGCCTAGTGACTCTGCGATGAGAAGATGACTGCTCTCGCGGGAAAAAAGCCACCCGCCATATCCCCAAAAGATCTCGCCACCCTTAATCCGGTGACGAAGGCCGCTGATATTTAGTCGCAATATCCTGCTCTATTACGTAGTGTGAAACATGAAGCTCTTGTTCTTTGTGTCCCTAAAAGTAATAGTATCTTTCTACGAAACGAAATGTGACTCTGGATTCTCGCCCACAAACTGTTTCCTAAACTGCACTGCATAGGTATTAAAACAGTGGGCTTTTATTTAAGACAACACTTTTTTGAACAGGTATAAGTGTTTTATTGAATTTTTTTTTTACTTTTCGCACCCTTTACAGGCTCCGTGGTCACAAGATAGAAGCGCCCCAAACTAAAGACGCTCTGCGCGTCCGCCGCAGCCTCGTCACAAATTTGAACGTTCGACGGCCGCTAGAATCCCCTCCGACCACTAGCAAAATATATAACGCAATCATTTCTTTTACCAGGCGACATTCGTGTTGACCACAGCCGCCTAAACACGGTCAAAGCTAACTACAGTGCGGTCAGAACGATTATCGTCACATCAAAATCTTTTAAGGAATAGACATTTTTTACACTCGGTGGATTGTGTGCACTGTTTATTTTTTATTTCAAATTCACAATGATTCTCATCTTGGCATGTTTTGCCTTGGCACTCTGGATAGTGAAGTTCCGATACAGAAGGCAGCACATGTACAAACTAGCTTCCAAGATACCATCCCCGACCAAAGAGATGCCCGTTATCGGCATTGCGCACAAGTTGATGGGTAGCACTGAGGGTAAGTTTAATAAGTACCTATATTCTTAAAAAAAGTCAGTTTAAAAAACAACAACTGTTTATATTCGATAATATGGTAAATAAAAAATTTCAATTATTTTTAATTAAGTAATTTGATATTTTATTATTGCACACGTAGGAAGCAAATAAAATATACGGCATTGATTAAAAACATCATAGATCATCATACCCATTTTTTTTTTATATAGTGAAGTACTTTAATAAAAAACTTATAATTGGTTTAAATATATGGTAAAACTGTACTTCCAGGGCCCAGGAGGTGATACTTGATTTTTTTTTGTAGAAAAGGTCTCTTTTAATAGAGTAGGTCACAACACTAACCTAACCTAGTGTAAGTATTACCACTTGGGCCCCGGAAGTACAGTTAAGCCAAATATTTTATTATGAACAATTTTTCAAGTTAAAACGTGCAGATTGAATATAAATAATAAAGCTTATCAATAGTAATTGTGGCAATAATAACGACATTCGTAAAGCCGAAAACCATTACTGTATCTTCGTAGTCTTGTTGTTATGTGAAATACTTTTACAATATTGTATTGAACTCACTCATCTTCGATATTGAGATTTTTTTATGACATATCGAATCGGATCAACAGTTTTGAACATAAAAAAATATCCATTTCTCTACTTAAAAACTGTACCTAAATCGACAGGTTTAAATATTTAGTCGGCTTTGCTTTAAATAAAACTCAAAGGTGACTGACTGACATAGTAATTTATCAACGCACAGCCCAAACCACTGGACGGATCGAGCTGAAATTTGGCATGCAGGTAGATGTTATGACGTAGGCATCCACTAAGAAAGGATTTTGATCAATTCTACCCCCAAGGGGATAAAATAGGGAATGAAAGTTTGTATGAAACTTTGTCAATTTCAAACCGATCGGGCTGAGACTTGCAGGTATAAGAAGAATCATAGATGAATATAATTGTGTATAATACAAGCCTGAGTAAAGAAACTGTAGTCTACACTTCAGCTCTACACCGAAGTGAAGCGAGGGCGGGCCGCTAGTAAAAAATAAATTTCTAAATTTTCGTATTAACATCACTTAACTGACATTCTGTGATTCGATGAACACGCTGAGTAAGAAAAGTTCCAAAAACACTATCGAGGAAGAAGAAAATCTTTATTTGATTACAATAAACAATTTGAGAATTAAGAAGAAAATACAAAAAACTTGAGTTGTTGCTGTATGTAGGCCAGTGGCGGATTTGCAGTCTTGGCCGCTCTAGGCCCCGAGCCATCAGCCACCCTTTCTCAGCATCCACCAAAGTTTACATAATGAAATTACTTTAATGCCAACATTTATCTAAATAGACTTAGAAATTTAGGTAAAAGAAATAGTTTTATTTTGCAAGAATATAGTTACAACTAATTATTTGCTCTAAAATAGTCTGCCAACTTGGTAGACTTGGTTATGATAATTTTTACATGAGTGTTATCAACTCTTAACATTTAAATTGTGAGTTAAATAATTGCATATCTAATTAAACAAAATTAATTTGTACGGAGCTACTTGTTATCGCAAGAACGTGTAGGTTGTATGGGTAAAAGTAACTATAAGTTTACTAGAATAAATAATAATAGCTGCTAATTTCTAACAAGTTTTTAGGAATAATTGCACATTTAAATAAAACTCTTTAGATTCTATTCATTCAAGTACAGGTTAAGAGTACAAGATAAGATATAATAAGTGTTATAGAATGTGTGACAAAATTTGCCTGCATTTTAGTGCAGCAAACTCATTAATTAAATCTTCGCAATCCAATTTCCTTATAAAATCAGCTTCTATGTTAAGCATAGGAAGATCGTTTAACCTTTGGTCCGTCATTGTTGTAAATAATTATTTACTCGTCGTAAACAAAAACACGATCGTTCCGGTACAAAAAATTAATTGTAGTGCAGTGACACATCAGTAGATAATTTATTATTTGCAATTCTTTGGCCTTTTTTTATTTCTGAGAGATTAGGGCCGCCCCTTAATCTGGCCGCCCTAGGCCGGGGCCTACCGGGCCTTAAGGTAAATCCGCCACTGATGTAGTCATGTCTCAAATTATCAGACATCATTTTATTAGAAAGCCAACTATACTATTATTCTATTTATATAACTTAGTTATTTTTCCGAGTGGTAACGACTTAATCAGCCTGAAATAGTTGCAGAATTTGGATTTGAAATTAATAATCATACGTCATTAATTAATTAGTTAATAAAAATTAACCCTAAAATATTTATATACAAATTCACAAGAAGAATATGTCATCCAAAATTCCAATTTGGGGCATGGTACCCAGAACACTAGCAGCATTATCTCGCTGAATAGCTAAATTGATCCTCTGCGCGAAATAGCTGCCAGCCCTCTGATCACCCGAAGAGAGAAACAGTAGATTCGACATATCCTTCATAAACCGCTCATGTCAGCCGACCACGAACGACCCTAACGTCTCGAAAGCTAACGCCGCAAACTCATAATCTTCAGCTATAGAAGAGTATTTACGACGCTTGAGAAACTGAGCACGGTCGGTTGCGGCCGCAACTTTAGTACAAGTTTCATGTATATAAGATGGAGCCAGCGTGTCTCTGTGTGACAAGTTACATTCCACACCAGAGTGCGGCCCAGTCTCCACGGCACAAGCGTAGCACCTTCAGGTCTCTTGCCATCATCTCTATATAGACCACATGGTTCTAATGTTGCCGGTATAGAAACCGTGGCGATATAAGCGACCAGCACTTCTGGAGCAGGACAAGCCATGTCGACCCAACTGGTTCACAAATTGCCCACATGAACACAAATGAGGTTCACATACTTTTAGTGGTTTCGTATCAATAAATAATAATGATAACGCGCTCTCATATTGTACCCTCCCCTGGTCATTGACTCTATTAAGTTCGTTGGAATTTTTTATTGGTCTCACTATTTTGCATAAGTGGTTTTCTGTTTTCTTGTATTTTAATTAATTATGATGAAAAATGCTTCAAAAATCACTGTATTTAGAACAAAGTTCTACGGATCTTTTGCGATAAGCCGCACGGTACGGACTTAATGCCGGATGGGGGCGAAAAAAAATTAAGTATTTTCCGACTCAATTTTCCGTAACGGCCGTCAGTTGTTTTGTTACGTATTGTATTTATTTATGTATTTATACTTATGTTTACATAGAAATATTTAACATTACAAAAAAATAAAACTACTTAATGTACAAAAACTTAAAATTTTGTTAACTTAAATGTTTTTTTTCATTTCGTTCCAACGGAGTGTTTTTTTGGAAATTTTGGTAGGTACGCATGGATTGTGCATTTGCCACTGCAGGTGACAACTGTAGGGAAACCAGTTTTAGGAATCAATGGGAGAGAAGTTTCAAAATTTGGAAAGGATAATAGGATAAAGATAGGTAATATTATTTTAAATATTATATGACAATGCTTAAGCGATATTATATTAAAAAAGAACTTGTAAAACTTACTCAAAATACACTCGATAAGACCAAAATTTTCAAAACGATTATATAAAAAAATAATGTACTTATTCTATTTTATAACTGTTTACATTTAAATATTTAAAAAAATGATATTAAGTGAAACACTTTAGAATTTTAGGTACTCAGTTATGTAGGAATTAACCGAGTGTTCCGCGACACACACTTTTTTTTGTATTATTAACCTATTGTTGTAGCAATGATTAAAAGAAAAAATTAGGAGTCTTTTTCGTGTGACTGAAATACTGCAAAATTTAAACCACCGAAGCAAGAATTAATAATACTTACATATATGTATAAGGAAATCGGACAGAAGATTTTTGTTATATTCTAGGCTTTGTTAATTGATGTGGATTAATTTGTTTTATTTAGGTATATCTTACTATACGTATAGGTTTTTCCCCGAAAGTTATATCTTGATAATAATAATATAAAATATAAAAAAGTATATAATTTGTAAAATGGGTCAAATCATTCAACAACGAAGCGACGCGAGGGCGAGGTACTATAGCATATATATATATATATATATATATATATTGGAATTTCTTTATTTCAATTTATAAGTCATTATTTTTTTTATTTCAGATATAATGGATGAGCTGAAATTGTACAGCTATGCAGCCATGGAAAATGGTGGTATAGTCAAAGGATGGCTCAGTCACATATTGTATTTCTGTAAGTATTTTTATTTTCTATTGATCATAGAGATACTATAATTCATTATATTTCCTAGACTGTGAATGTGTTTGATGGACTGAAAAAACAACATAATGATAGTACGGATTGCACGTTTCTTTACTAATGTGATGAAAAGCGCGGTAATAAGGAAGATGCCAGATTTTTATTTTTGTTTTCATTTTAAAGAATTCCATGTAGAATAAATCACAGATATATTAAAAAATTCATAAATTGTAATTTATCGGAAAAATGCGGTTTTAAATTGACAGTTTAAATTTTCGCGCGAAAACGTACTTATGGTTCCGATGACGTCACTCCTGTCTGTCACTGGTCGTACTTGTTCATCGCTGGCTTTCATACTTTTGCATATTTTTTCGACTTTCGTGATATTTTTTTGTAAAAATTTTAATTTGGTCAATAACAATATACTACTAATATTCCGAAAAAAAGCCGTGTTGACTCATGTTTTGTGCTAATGTGTCCATCTACTTCAACAAAATTTCCAAATAAATTGTTTTTGACTTCTGATTGAATTGAGTTAATAAATAAATGTTAAAAAAATATAAAAGAAATGCCACTGCAACGTTTTTATTTTACATAATGTTGTTTTTTAGCAATTATTACGAATTAAAAATACTTGAAACGGAACGTATTTTAAAACACCAATCAGCGTTTAGTGACGTCATTCCTGTTATGACAACTTCTTTGAGGTTATGGTTGATAAAGTAAATATTATTTTATGGGAATATTTATTGCGTTTTTTTACATTTAATAAAAATGGAAGTTGCGTTTATCAAAGCAGACTCCATGAATTTACCAAGAGTTAACGTTGACATGGTTATAACTTTTTTTTGTCCAAAGTGCAGAGTTTTTAAGTGTAGAAATGAAAGGGGCTAAATTACTACGGTATGTTAAAATCGTAGTTGTTAAACTTCGTATTTCATTCAGCGGCTTCTACAAATCTTACGGCGATAATGCAATCGGCTATGTCCAAATTAAAAGAGATGGAGAATTATGTACAGTAAAAGGTCGAGTTCTTCTCTTGTGTCTTCAGTGATCTTCTCAGCATCGAATAATGGTCTTTGGAGAATAATTGTCATTTCTCTTCGCAGCTTGAAACCAGGTTTTTTTTCAGTTTTGTGTCAGAAGTTCCAGTCAAAAACAATTTATTTGGGAACTTTGTTGAAGTAGATTGGCACAAAACATGAGTCAACACGGCTTTTTTTCGGAATATTAGTGGTATTGTTATGATCACATGATGTTGATGGATAGTACATTTTAAATTTTTCAAAAAAATATTTCGAAATTCGAAAAAATATGCAAAAGTATGAAAATTTAAAGCCAGCAACGAACAAGTACGACCAATGACAGACAGACAGAAGTGACGTCATCACAAACATAGGTTCGTTTTCGCGCGAAAATTTAAATTGTCAATTTAAAACCGCATTTTTTCTGATAAATCACAATGTTTTAATTTTTTAATATATCTGTGGTTTATTCTACATGGAATTCTTTAAAATGAAACCAAAAATAAAAATGTTGCATCTTCCCTATTGACCCAAAATTGAGAAAAAAGTGGTTGCAAGCTGCGAAGAGAAATGACAATTATCCAAAGACTATTAATTATTCGATGCTGTCAAGATCACTTTGAAGTAAGTCGGCGAATATACTTGTTATATGCTTAATTAATCTGCTTGTACGTAAAAACGTGTTAGTAACCTACCTTAATACTTACAAAATTTGTCTAAGTATAACATATTTTTATAGTTGGAGAACGACGTCGAAAAGTTTAAAATGTGTGGCACAATCTTCACATTGGCAGGACGGAACCAAGCTTTGCGTTTCATTTTTAAAATAACTGTAACACGATAACCTTCTTTACGTACTTTATGCTCCGGAGTAACTCGACTTTTTACTGTACATAATTCTCCATCTCTTTTAATTTGGACATAGCCGATTGCGTTTACGCCGTAAGATTCTCTTGTTATGCTGAAATAACTACTATGTGTAGGAGCCGCTGAATAAAATACAAAGTTTAACAACTATGATTTAAACACACCGTAGTAATTTAGTCCCTTTCATTTTTACACTTGAAAACTGCACTTTGGACCAAAAATGTTACAACCATGTCAACACTAACTCTTGGTAAATTCCTGGAGTCTGCTTTGATAAACCCAACTTAAATTTAAAAAAAATATAAATATTATATTTGCATCTTCCCTATTATCTCCATTTGTCAAAAGGGATTCTTCAAAATTGTTACTAATGGTTAAATGATTCGGAACAATAGAAAATAACCTGAAATAAGAGGGGAAGTTATAAGGTGGACTAAGCTGCTAGCACCCACCAGTGTTAAATGAAGTGTCGTTGCCGATGTAGTATTTTACTATAGGCTTCGCCCAATTTGGAATTTAGTAATTTTCTGAAAATAGTTTAGGTAGATCTTATATTTTCATGTAGATACTCCTTGTATAAATATCTCACCCCCCGTTATTTACCCCTTTAGCTTACATCTTAATAGCTATATATGTGCCATATTTTAGGGCAATCCTTCCAATACAGTGGTTTGAGCTGTGCGTTGAAAGATCAGTCAGTCAGTAACGATTGCCTTTTATATATATATATAAAAAAAATACAGAAGATTAATTAGCGTTCAATTCAAGGTTTCAATTATTATATGTATTATACGTTATTATTGTCTTAACGGTTGCGATGACAACTTGTCATTTTATCTTTTTCGTCTCTGCTTAATACGTCATAGTCAGTAATCTGTCGCTTGGCTTAACTCGACACTATCGATTATAATGTATAATTAATAGGGTACTATGGCATCACTATTTTAACGATAAATGAACAAACATCAGATATCGTATATCGTATCGTCGTATGCAGCTCGTGTGCATTGATCATTACACACTCAGCTTCTCTACCGAGTTACAATAATGTCTCAATAATCACTATTATAATGTACTTATTACATATAAATAAAATAAATTGAGGCCTAAGCGTTTTCTGATTTATTTCAATGCTGTTTCCTTTGTATTCAACATTTAATCCCAAACAAAATTTTAATTCGCCCAAGTCTTTCATGGCATGATATTTTGACAAACCATCTCTGACAGAATGATATGACTTGTCAGTTTTGTGAAATAAAATCAAGTCATCGACGTAAATCGCAAGTATGACTTTTTCCGAGTCTCCAAAAAGTGTTGTATAATATAACAATAATAATTTATTCATAAATGATTTGGTTTACAATAATAAGTGGCAGGAGTCCCCTTTTAAGCAAATCAATGCCTGTGCCAGGCGACTCCGCTCCTCCATAAATTATTAAAATATTTATTATTACCTTCAACACAAGGAACACATGGTTCTTTATTGACCTCCTTATAATCTATGCCAGTTGCCATTTCCTTTTTAAGTTGATCCATCCCTATACGACATAGATGGCCTAAGCGCCTATGCCAAAGATGGTAGGGCTGGTCAAGAAGCACATTAGAAGCAACTAATTTTCGGGGCATATTAACTGAACAATCTAAAGTGTACAACTCCCTAGAAACATGACCACGCATTACAAGATCTCCGCTACAACTAAAGTTTTTATAAAACTTACAACATTTATTATCCAAAACACTAATTATACCATTTTCAGCTATTTTCTTAACAGAAATTAAATTACAGTTTAAATAAGAACAATCAAATTTCATGTCTCCAATACCAGTGCAAATTATTTTATCACCATTTGCAACAGTGACTGAATCGTTTCCAGAATTATTGAAATACTTTACATTCTCCATATATTCAATATTGCAGCTCATATAGTTTGTGGCGCCGGAATCAATAAACCATTTCGTCGTTGATCGCTCTGAATGAGCGAGTATTGAGTGCAGCCAATGCCACATTTGTCTTCTTCTCCTTCTTATAAGGGCAATCGGGACGGTTGTGACATGGTTCACGACAATCATAGCAAAACACTTTCTTCTTGTGCTTTGAAAACCTCTTAGTTGGTTTATTCTCTCTTCCACTATTTTTACTAGATGTACGTAATGCCGAAGTAGACGGATGATCAAACTATTTAGAACATTCACTCAGTAATCTACCCTTAACCAATTCAGTTGTAATCTGGACATTTGAATTTTCCAAAGCCATTATCATAGGTTCTTATTGAGGACCCAGTCCTCCGAGCAGTATTGCTCCGACAGTGGCATCAATATCTATCCAGGCTTGTGCAGTTCTCAACACTGCGTCAATATACTCTTCGATATTGTTGTCAAAATCTCTAAGGGTGTATCTGTACAGTTTACTAAAACGAGTCTTCTACCCATACCGCTATCTTCAAACGCAGCGGCTAAAGAGTCCCATGCTTGTTTTGCAGATTCAGCCTGCCGAACATGTATCACAGCGGGACCTTCCAAGGTCAGACAAATTTGGCATAGAGCTTTTTGGTCTTTTGCGATCTTTACGGTAGTAGGCGTAAATTCATTTTCAGGGTATCCGATTATCGTTTCCCACAAATCTTCGTGCAATAGGTACATTTTCATTTTGAATTTCCAATCGGAATAATCATTTCTACAGCTTAAAACTACCTACCTGCTGTGACCGAAGAACCCGTTGCTCTATGAAGAGACTTTCTTGTTGTTACACTTACGTGTGTGATGGAATCACCGTCTCCGGGCATATTTAAAAAAATATTCCCTACAGTCCAGGCAACGAATGCTCAAAAACAGGTATAGAGGGAAATGCTTGGAACACAATTTTGATATGTTTACCTCCTAACTAGTCCTAACAAAGTTACGAAGTCAAAAATTGTGTTCTAAGCATTTCCCTCTATACCTTTTCGTTGCCTGGACTACTACTGGTTTGGGACACAAATAAACACAAATATCACGCAAATATCTCAACTAAAAAGAGAAAATATACAGAGACTTCGTGCTGATAACGATTTTGTTGTAAAAATGTAGAAATCAAAGCTTGTACGTGCGTGATACAAGAGTTTTTTAATTGACAAGTAAAATCAGTTGATTTGACATTTAAATTTTATATAAATTTTAGATTAAACACAAACATTTGAGTACCTATATAAACCAAAATAGGTTTTATAACCATTTTAAATTCAAGAGCATTTTGCGTATCACAAGAAGTGATCTTATCACGGTAATAATAAGAGATTGATGACAATCTGCTCACTTGACGTTGGAAATAATAAAACAAAATTAGCTTTGGACTTGTTATATGACATCAAGAAGAACAAATTACAAATAATTGAAACAACACCTTTCAGCACGTATTTACATCGACCTCATAACTGCATTAGGTATAAAGATGTAACTCTTGGCAAATCGACTGTCTATCAGGGCCGTATTTACGCAGGGGCTCAAGGCTAATTCAGATTCTAACAGTTTTTGAGGTATTATTATTTTATCGTGTTCACAGTGCTTTTGGATCCCGTGGACAATGAAAAAGTGCTGAAGACATGCATGGAGAAAGACAACCTGCACAGATTCATAAGAGCCGTCCTTGGCAACGGTGGCATATTCGCTTCTGGTAAGTTATTCTGATTATTTAATTGCGCTGAACATTGAGTATTAAGATTCTATACAAATGATGCAGAAAAAACTAACTTAAATTTATCTAATCTTACTGACCAACAGTTTAGTTAGGTAAATACCTGGCTTAATTAGTGAAAGGAACATGATATGAACACGGCAAGAGGTCATAGAAGTGCGTACACTGCACATAAAAACAGCAATGCATTTCATATGATACAATGGTTTCTGTTGCGTAGCAGTACGGAATGAGTTCTCGCCAAATGCCAGTCACAGAACTCTAAATTTAAAGTAAAACATCTAGCAATTAAACGCTTAAAATAAAAATATGATAAATTAAAAGTGTTTCTTTTAGTTCTATATAATGTACAAAAATAGTAAAAATAAAAACATACTTTAAACGACAACAAATGTGTAATCGGAATATAAATCACATCTCTTCAGTCCGATCTCTCGGCGTCCTCGGTTGTTCGGGGGACATTTTTAACGCGGTACAATTAATCCGTCGTGAGCATTACTAAATGCAGTCGTCAATGATCTATTTTGGCGGACAAAAAGTTCGTGGACAAAAGTCCCTCGTCTGTGCTGGCCATTAACATAAAACATTACGCCCAGACTCATATTGGAGTTAACCTTTCGAAATGTATTATATTGTTGAAAGATTGTTTGTTAAAATGAAATCAGATCTGTATTGACACTAAGTACACACATATTTACCTATACATATCATAATGATATTAAATGAAATCATACTTTTTCTTTCTGTGATCTTTGGCCTCGTTAAGCTACTTTCGTAATACCTCTTGCCTTGACCGACAGAAATTAGTATTGCAATTAAATACGATTTGAGGTTCTTGGGTTATTACAATCCTTATTATAAATAAATATTAATAAATAATACCAACAGTCACACCAATTAGCCTAGCGCCAAAGTAAGCACTATAAGGGTTGAGTTTTGGGATACTAGGGTAACGGATAGACATATACATATACTGTACATATATAAATATATTATTATTGGATGTACAAATGTTCGTATTCATCACACATAACATCTGCCCCCACCGGGATTTGAATCCGGGACCTCTCGAGTCGGCGACACCATGAAACCCGGCGTACAAACCACTCGGCCACGGAGGTCGTATAAGTATAGGAGTGATTTGGCTGGGAAAGTGCAGCTTATTTGGGAATACAAGAATTGGGGTGCTGATGGGGTAGAATAAATGAAATTCTATTTCAGTTACATTATCAAAAAATAATGGACACGTATTTTCTTTTTTGTCAATCAACCAAAAAATTACAAAGATAAGATGATTGGGAGAGGGGTCTGGTGACATCACCTCTAAGTAAAAAATTGTACATAGACTCGACGTCATGCGACATTTTAAATCAATGCGTCCTGGTTAAATACATGTCCAATATTTTTTGATAATCAATCTACTAGACGTAGAAAAAAAGTTAGTCAGCATCCCTATTAGTATTAATGATTTTTTCATTCAATGGTTAAACTATTATGTATTAAATTGATGTTCTTTTGCACAACTCAGAAAAAGATATTTAACCAGATATGTAATAATATCGATACCGCGGGGCTCAAAAGGCGTATAAACAATAGTATACTTGTATAAAAGCATTGTAAAAAAAATTTTTTTTTTTGCTCCACTGTAAATTGAACTTTTGGCGTTTACCTCCTTTGAATGAGTCGACAGGTACATATGTTGCACGACTATTGGTGTAAAATAAAAAATGATATAATTAAATAAACATTACTTTCACAGTGAAAATTTGGAGAAGACGCAGGAAAATCCTGGTGCCAGCGTTCAGTCCGAAAATTGTGGAATCCTTTGTGAAAATATTTACTCAGCAGAGTGAGACACTTGTGAAAAAGCTTAGTAACCAAGTTGAAAAGGGCAAATTCAGCGTATGGCCTTTTTTGAGCACTTACACATTAGACTCCGTTTCTCGTGAGTATTTTTTACCATATTTTGGACGATTTCTGTAACATAAAGTATAGTTTCTGTGAAAGTCTAAAAAGAACTTATAAGACTGCTCGCGAAGAACATATTGACCTGTCATCCTTCCTCTTCTTCCTCTTGCAACAGTTTGCAACAACAAATTTGAAGTCCTTATGGTGCCTGTTTTGCGTGAGGGCTGGAATGACTCCGGCATCACAACCTGTGCTGCCGGAGTCATTCCAGCTAGCCCAGCTCCTTCTCGCACGCCCCCAGGGCCTTCACATTGGTGATTGCCTCTTAGAGGTTTCCCGGTGAGCCGATGTATTTCGCCCGGTATTCGGCCACTCCGTTGCATTCCAGAAAAACGTGAGTGGCTGTTTTTTCTGCCTTCATGCATCCTTTGAATAGGGGGTTGACTGTGACGCCGAAGTTAAAACATGTCTGTTAAATAGGCATGTCCGGTAATAGCACCTGTTACCATGCGCAATGTAGGTCTGCTTAGCTGTAGAAAAGTCTTGGAGAGGGCAATGTTCACCCGTAGCAAAGCGAGCTTGGTCTGCCTGCACGTCTCCAGATTAAGCTAGTGTTGCTGGTGTAGTGCGGCTGTGTGCTTGCGGGTTTTACTGACAAACCAGCTTACCGGCACCGGGATGATCTGCAGGTTCGCTCCCGTGTGATCCAGTGTGTCCCTTAATCCATTGGTTAGTAATAGCATTGCGTAACCCTACCGTGTTTAAGGTTTGGTGACATTCTTGTAGGTGGTTCGATTTAACTAAAGAGGCATCTAGAGCTTATAAGACTTATTTGCTATCGGACAGGATCCCAATTTCTTGCCCTGTTACCTTCCTGGAGAGGATCGCTCTTGCCGTCAGTAAGATGCCCCTCAGCTTGGAAAACTGTGTTGTACGGGCATAGAGGAAAATCTATATGTATATTGAGGTTCTTAGAGTAAATACCCACGCCCGTGCCCGATGAGGTTTTAGAGCCGTCGGTGTAGATCATGAGAGCCTTGTGTGTTACCTTTTGATCGTTCTTATCCAGTCGATGTATTCTGTACTTTTTGTCAAATATGAAGGCAGTTTTGATTTTGTCACACGCCGCTTCTATGAGCGCAGTGTTAACGCATTTCTTCGGTATACCGTTGAGATGTCGTGATGTCTTTCGAACCTTACCAGTACAAACTTTTGTAGTTCAACGCTGTCTTAGCCACTTCCTGTCTGATGTAGATGTGGAGCAGTGTGATATTTGACATAACTCTCAGTGCTGAAGCTGCTGGGTTGGAGCCGTACTTAAGCACTCAGTCATTGACCTGCCATAAAAATAGATCGAACACTTTACTGTAGGAGAAGCTCGATGGCGCAGGTGCTTAAAAGGGGCTTTTGACGTTGAAACAGTCACACAGACCATCGATCGAACCACTGTTTGATAAGTAATTCAACGGACCGGCGGCATAACCTTGGTCGTTCAGTCCGCTTTAAGACCAATCCATTCACGATCGAACTGGTCACATACGACTGAAATCCGTGCGACGGCCTTGTGCGACCGTTGTAACATGTACGGCTCGTCTAACGCGTTCGACTTGCGATCGTGAAAGTTTAACATCTTTCGGCTGGATGGCTAGTCATCGGATAGATGGCCATAAATTTATTATCTTGAAATCCTCCGTGCTTTGGAAGGGACGTTACGCCATAAGGTCATGAATGGCCCAATCACCCCTATTCTTAGATTAAAACAAAAAGGGAATAAAATATGATCCGACTCAACTACATAAGCAACTAACTACTAACACGTACACGTCTGTATATAAACATTCAATCCAGAGAGCGAGACAGAACTGTACGCTTCAACGCAGCGCGAGCGAAATGGCGAGTCCGCTTCTGAGTCCGTACGGCTGAGCTGTATTGTTGTCCTTTTCTTGATAACAAAATGGCTATTACAAAACGTTTTTACAGTTTCACGAATGTAAAGTGTTGCTGAGGCATTTGATTTTGAACTGTTTGTGTTCGTTATAAAGGCATCGAAGGCATTATTTTATCCATATATCATAGAATATACGCAATATTGTTATATGGAGTGCACATGCAGCGTGTTTGAATGTCCAATTGTGATTAAAGCAAATTGTGGTCATGCACCATAATTTAGGCAAATCACTTTTGAGCCGCGAGTGCCGTATCTTCCCTTTTTGTTTTAATTTAAGCCACAACTCCATCAATAGAGAAGGTCTGTGCCCCAACAGTGGGCACAATAAAAGGCTGATGATGATGCTTCTGCAAAAAAGTTGCATATTGATCTCGACCTCAAGATGGTAATACGAGTCACGAGCATTAACTAGTAAGTTAGTTCCATATATTTTTAAATGCACCTTATTCACTTAAAGACTTCATTCATATACAGAAACGGCGATGGGTGTAAAAATAAACGCGCAGAATAATACCCACAGTCCATTCCTTGTGTCGCTGAACCGAATCCTGAATTTGGTGTGCGAAAGAATATTCCACCTGTGGCTTCAGCCAGATTGGATGTACATGCTCTTCCCACAATATACGGAGCACAAGGCTTGTCTAAAGCAACTGCACGATTTCACTGATGAGGTAATTTAAATGTAACATACAAAAAAAAAATAAAGGCTTATATTAAATAAAAAATGGATACAACACCTAATTAAAAAAAAAAAAGCTTTAGGCAACTAATTAGTAAGGGAAATGTTTTTACTTTTAGCCTTAAATTTCTCTGGTTTGACTTTTGAAATTAAAATTAAAATTTGTAATCATGTTGCTCATATCTTATTATTCCACCATCATAATATCTTTAAGTTTTAGAACATAACAGTAGTTTTTATTTAAGGTTATAGTAAAAAAACGCGAAGAAATACAGAAGGAATCCAAGGAAAAAACTGAAGCGGATGCTGAATATGGTAAAATTAATTTTAATTTTTTCAGTACATACCCAACAACAATTTGATCTGAAAATTTTACAATCTTACATTAAACAACAGTTTTTATGGATAGATCCGCGTTGTTTGAGACATAGATAAATTTAACTACTACAAGGTCACGTCAAATACATATTAAATATGTAATATTTTGACAAATCGTTACTTTTCCTATAGTTTTTTAAAATTTAAATTTGCCTTTTTTGATAGTTATAGTTCATCTTTAACTATAGTCAATTTTACTATTTATGAAACAACGAGGGTTGACAGCAACCTGACAGTCAAATAAATGCTAAAGAAATCAGCATTCTCTATGAGCTTAACGTTTGATATACCTAATAACTCATTTGTGTTTTAATTAATGTTCCAATAATAATACAATACCTTACAATTTACATTATTTGGAGGTAGGGTGTTAATGATAGAAAACTCCGTTTATTTTAGATCTAGATAATTATAAAACCAAGAGTTTCCTTGATCATCTGATTCATCTTTCGGGCAAAGAGGGTGGTTACACTAATCTAGAATTGAGAGAGGAAGTGTTGACCTTGACTATCGCTGGAACGGATACCTCTGCGGTTGCCATGGGAAACACCTTGAAGATGCTGGCGACATATCCTGAAGTTCAAACGCGGGTTTATGAAGAGTAAGTTATGAAAACTATCATTACCTAATTTTTTCCTCTACTCTTTCTCTTCACATCTAAGCCCATGCATGCACCTCCCACGCTGGCAGCACGAGGCCACCTCGGGGACGTATGAGGCTGAGTTCTCAATGAAAATAAATATATAGACACGAGCAAGTTATATATATGTTACGCTCAAAGATCGAAAACGCTCAGTAAGCGGAAAAATAGCTCACAACGCGTTGTGGTCACAGTAAAACATCTACATGGCGAAATTCGTGTTATAGCTCAAACGTGTTATAGCGAAAACGTTAAACAAAGCTTGAATGAGAAGGAGTTTAGGAGTTTAGTAACCCTATAACGGTCAATCTGATTTTATAAAGAGTTCATAGATATATTAATATATAGATAAATTATTATAAAATTCATCAGTAGTACTAACTTCCACATTTTTAGGATTTATGACATATTCGGAGATTCTGGTCGTCAATTAGTGAAAGAAGATTTACATCAACTGAAATACCTTGAGAGGGTCGTGAAGGAAACACTGAGGCTCTTTCCGCCCGTGCCCTTCATTATCAGAAGGGTGGACGAGAATGTTACATTACGTAAGTATTAGACTTTATCAATGATTTTTGGTTAGGTTACAAAAGTTATCGATCGCTTTAAGAACAAGGAAGCAGCTAATGAAAACAATAAAAATAATCTTAACTTCCTAAATTCTTCATTACATAAAAAAATATAATTCACGCAAAATATAAAAACGTAACATTACAACCCCTTATAATTTCTAGATGGATCTTTGTTTTATTTACGTGCGAGCTGATGTTCCGTTCTTATCACTCGCTCTGCTCTGCGTCTGCATGGTCACCATAACTCTAGGTCTATCCTGTAGGTAAACGATAATTATTGTAGTTATCGTTTAATTGTCTGTTATTTGCCTCGATCGCCAATGTGATCGGACGTGTTACGTGTACAGTTTTTATTTCTATCAGAAGGTATACAAAATAATCAATTTCAAAATCGTGACCTCTGTATTACGGCGCATGAATCTGTGTCATACGGTGCATACCTACCACCTACTCGTGGTTTTTTTCAGTGAATAAGTTTTGTTTTGTTTTTAAATAATGGAAAGTGTTTAAAATCTTTGAATAAAAATGGAGGGCAGTCCCTTTAATCGAAGCGCGCTGACACCACGCAGCCCGCCGCCCATCGCCCGCGCCAGCGCCCGCCCTACAGTATGATGATACTCCGGAGGTAGTGTCTACAGCCGAAATACAAACGTGGATGAAAACTATTGAAGTATGCCTAAACGAGGTGTGCTCTATCTCATCCGACGGCAAGCTTAACTCAGAACAAAAGTAAAGGATTAATAACGTATGCAGAAAAGTGTCCCATGGCACATCTCAGCTGGCAGTGCAATATCAGTCGCTGAAGCAAAATACCATGCAAGTCCATACTTCTCTTCAAGCCCTAAAAGAAAGACAAGACCTATCTCAACGCTTGCAAGATCTTAAACTCAGCTTTGTATCATCCAGACCAATAGCGGGATCGGTTTCCTTCGCTGATATGGTGAAACAAAACAGTGTTCAGGCCAAATCCATTAATTAGTTCTTTTGCAATTTATCCTAAAGAAAAATTAAAATCAAGCGAAGAAACAAAATCTCTCGTTCAGACCCTTATTAAGCCTGATGAAATGAAGTTGCATATCAGAGGGTTGCGCAAAATAAAGAATGGTGGTGTTATCATAAGCACCGAGACCAAAGATGACATTGAGAAACTGAAGCAGTTGGCACAACTCCCCACCTCCAGCCCCACAGTAGATGACCCACAGAAGCGCAAGCCCAGGATTGTTGTTATCGGTATACCAACATCTATCGGAAGTTTTCAGTTGTTTATACAAGCATAATCTGACCGATTCACTTCAAGGTACATCACCTGATTCATTTTTGACCTCCATTAAACTTAGCCATAAGTCAGGAAGAAAAGACGCTCAGACTTGTAATTACGTCATAGAAGTCCCCGCAAACATACGCAACGCTTTGATTATGCAGGAGAGAGTCTTTGTCAACTGGAATTCATGCCGTATCAGAGATTTCAGACTAGTTACCGATGCTACAAATGTCAGCAGTATGGCCATGCAGCCAAGACCTGCCGCGAAGAAATTGGCACATGTGGCTACTGACTGCGGTAAATCAGGCTACACCATAACGGAGTGTTCTAAGAAAGCAGAGACTCCGAAATGTGCTACCTGTTTGCATTTTAAAAAACCGAGTAACTATCTTACTGGTGATGCAGAGTGTCCTGCCAAAAAACAAGCCGAAATATGGTACATAAACTCAATAAATTATGAGGGCGCCACTTTTTCTTAGATAGATTAAGCACAATTTATTTTATTCACTCTTTGTATTTTTTACTATGACTGATAGCTTAATTGCGGATTTAGACAATATCTCTGTATCCGAGTCAAAAATCTGCGAAGTAGAAATGTGCTAGCAATATTTTTCGTCTTACAATTATCCACTAACGATACAAACGCAAAACACGCAGTATTTTTATTTTTTTTGATAATTTTAGTATTTAAATCTAAAGAAAAGTTTACTAGAAAAAAATCCACGCGGACCAGGCAGCGGACGGGACTCGAACACGCATCCTTCGCTATCCGGGCGAATGCTGACCATTATGCTACCACGGCCCTATCCGCGTCGAAATTTTCCTAGCCTTAAGCTGCAAGGCAGCGCAGGCAGTTTCTAGTAAACTTTTCTTTAGATTTAAACATCTAGCAGTTAAATGCTTAAAAAATAAATAAAATCATAATTTTAGTATTATCCAACAGAGATTAGATATTGACTGCGACATCATCACTTTAACCGAATGTTGGCTTAGTAAAAATAGCCGTTTACCTCTCATACCAGGCTATAGTATCTATAACATCAAAGTAAACTATAATCAAAATGATGGTGTTGTAGTTTATGCAAGAAACAATTTAACTCTCTCTATAGAGGAGTCAAACATACAGGACTGTAATAGATTGCTAATTAAAATCGACTCTGATGTTGCAATACTAACTCTGTATAGACCACCGTCATTTAAAAACATAAACAGTTTTATTGAATCTCTTAATGAAACATTCATTAATTTATCTTCCTTCAAAAATATTGTATTAATCAGAGACGTAAATATCAACATTCTCCCAAAGTGTCGACGCTTGTGTCTCCAATTTACACAACGATGAAAAACGAAACGTAACGGGTGAAAGAAGCCACGAAGAAGACCCGCGCATTCGAATATTAAACGGCGCTCTATACGCATACAAATTTTTCTATCATTCAATTATTGTAATTTAAACGTAATTAAACGTCTTATCAAGTATACGAGTTCACCATTAGATAGAAGACCTGACTGTCCCAAACATTTTGGTCTTCGAGCCGGATTAGACGACTGCGACATCGAAGAAAGCGAGGATTTTGAAGATATCATCTCCAGTAACGATTGGTTGATTATCCTATCTAATTTCCTTATCCTTATTCAAATTGTGTTAAAGTCGTGTTTATCTAAACGTTATTATTCGCGAGTTAGGAGTTAATTGTGTACTAATACAGTTATATTTGCACGTAACTACCTTTATTGTTCTAATTGATTGCCAAAATGACCGACAGTGCTAACGGAAATTTATCTATTCCTCCCCTTTCACCATCTAAAATTTTAATTTTATCCGTGCGGTGACGGAGAAAGAATACAACTCACCGCCCCTTTTCTTCCCGTGGGTGTCGTAAGAAGCGACTAAGGGATGTCGGAGCTTCCATCCGCTCTTCTGGTGGTAGGGTGCCTAACACCCGCCTGGTTTGTTACCACCGTGCGCATGGTGAAAAACCCGTGAAGTGCTTCTCGCGCATTTCGGGGTCAGCCAGCGTACAACCAGAGCTCGAGTGGAAGTTGTCGCAAAGGATTCGGTCCAGGGGAGGCATCCCATGGATGCCGATGCCGGGAGGACTGCATCGACCCGTCGGCCAGGGAGACCCGTAGAAACGGCTGTCCCGCTGGCCGCCCGTGGCACAGTACAGGGGCCCAAGCGTTCCTAACCAGTTCGCGAGGCTGCCCCATCATGTCACGCATAATCTCGGGGTGGACCGTCGTGCCGGTTGGTGACCGGGGCGTGGGGTCCCGGCGGCCACTCCCGGGGGGGTGCGGGGGCCCTTCCGTCCGGCAGGTCGGCGCATCTCCACTGCAGGCAGTCAATCGGGAAGACAAACCCCCCTTATTTGCCCGGACTCTTCGCGACGGCGTCCGCTCGTTTTCGCGTCTCTTTTTTTTTCACTTCCACCATGGCAGCCTCGATAACAAAGTTTGGACGTACAGCGGTGCACACCCCCCACGCCTTCAACGCTGTTTGAGGTCGAGTTCTGCAACATACGCGGACTCCACTCTAACCTCAACGCTGTCCACCACCATCTCGAGACAGCACGGCCAACATTGTTGTTCCTGACGGAGACACAAATACTTCCGCCTGCTGACACAGGCTACCTTAATTATCCCGGCTACGTGCTTGAAGAGTCCTTCAAAGCGAAAGCCGGTGTATGCCTGTATGTTCGGGCGGATGTTTGTTGTCGCCGTCTCCGCTGCTTGGAAGATCCCTCCTTCTCCATGCTGGGGGTACACGTCGTCTCTGGCCCCCGGGCCAGAGTCTACGTGTGCCTCTACAGATCCCACACCGGCGATGTTGAGACAACTCGACTTTTTGAACACCTTAGTCGGGCAGCAGATGACGCGCAGGAGCGATTTCCCAATGCAGAATTGGTGTTTTTGGGGGACTTTAATGCTCACCACAATTTGTGGTTAAGTTCTTCCAAAACTGACCATGCAGGGATCTCTGCTCACACATTCGCTCTCACGCATGACTTGAAGCAACTGGTTGATCAGCCCACCAGGATCCCAGATATTCCAAGTCTAGCGCCTTCTTTACTGGACCTTCTGCTCACGACCCATCCACAGGGCTATCAGGTTGTGGTAAGAGCCCCCCTGGGCTCGTCCGACCACTGCCTGATATCTACCAAAGCACCACAGGCCAAGCCTCCGCGTCCAGCAGTGGTCAAGCGCCGTATCTGGCATTATGGGTCGGCAGATTGGGACGGTATGCGTGATTACTTTGCGTCCGTCCCTTGGAAGCAGCGCTGCTTCAGTGACAGGGACCTATCGGGCAGTGCCGTTGCCATTACTGAGGAGATTATAATGGGTATGGAATACTATAATTCTCATTCTGATCTCATCAGTAAGGGCACACGTAACCTCTGGTTCAATCACGACTGTGCTGAAGCTGCTTCGCGTAAGCAAGCGGCATATCGTGCTTGGATCAGAGGCCGCGCTCTCAAGGATCCCGGGGTAGATTCACTCAAAGCAGCCTACAATTCTGCTTCCAAGGGCCTGTAAGAAGGCTTACATCAGAGCGGATGCCCAGCGTGTTGCACGTGTTGGCCAGGAACTTATAACGCATCCTGCGGGCTCCCGTAGCTACGGCGTTTGGCCAAGGCCGTGCAAAAAAACTTCTGCCAGCCCTCGCTGCCACCTCTGAGATGCCCAGACGGAACACTAGCTCATAAGCCGCAGGAGA